CTGGCGCCGAAAAACAAATAACGACGGCGCCAGGCAGACCTTTTTATTCAAGCGGCATTTTAACTGTTAATATTATTGGATTTTATCTGGCCAGGGCAGCTTATTTTATACTGTATTGTTGTATTTTTAATTTAATATTTATATTTTTAATTTATATTATAATTATTTTAACTTAGTGATGTGAGCCGCCCCGAGGCTTCGGCGAATGGGGCGGCATAAAAATGTTTTAATAAATAAAATAAAAATAAAATGGTTTTTACCGGGCACCGAAAAGAATATAAACTCTGCGCCAGAATATCTGCTTGCTTGCTCTTTCCCTTCTTTTGAGAAGGCTATCCTTGGGCACAGACACCGAGATACAGCTGGGAGACACTCACATCCTGTTATCACTGTAACGCAGGCTGCCTTTGGCTCGGTCGCTGCCAAAATGGTTGCGTGTAGCAGGGAGTTGCGCTGGAATGCTCTTGCACGGTCTAGAATAATGACCTTGCCACTTGTGTGTTCTTCAGCCTGCTGCAATACATCTTCGTGGGGAACATCTTCATGGTCCCTGACGACCCCTTGGGACGTGGCGGACCCACGTTAGTGGAATTCCTGAAGAAAAATCCCAGGTAACATGTGGAACTGGTCGTCTACAGGGCTGGGCGTGCGAGTTGAGGGCCTTACGGTTTGGAGGGGGCAGGCATCCCTAGAAAAAGTGCACCCTGATGGGATGCAGAGAGGGACTCCTTGAAGAAGAGGCTTTCTGGGAATGCTGGTCAGACACACTGCAATAAACTGATGGCCCAGCGCCATCTTGTGGCCGGATGTGGGAAGTGCATGGACACAGAGCCAAAGCAAACCCGGGCAGTAATGGGTCTTCCTAGCTCAAAAGTGCTTATGGAAGAATGGAAATGCCTATCAGCTGACCTGCCCCAACATACCTCTGCTAGCCAGTTGCAGTCCACCAGCAGCTGGCTGGGGAAGGCTGGGAGGACTGTTTCCCTTCATATAAATATGGCCCAGAGTGGTCTGAAGGCACATGAGTCATCCACCCTACTGAAGCTAAGCAGATCTAGGGCTGGCCTGAGCTTGGAAGGGAGTCCCCACAGAACTGCATCACCACCTTGAATTCTGCAATAGGTGGGAGATGGGTGGGATATAAATACCGTGTTTTCCCAAAAATGAGACTGGATCTTATATTGCGTTTTGCTTCAAAAGATGCATTAGGGCTTATGTTCAGGTGATGTCTTATTTTTTTTCATATGAAAGCTGTAAGATTCTTGCCCTGAGAGTCCTCCACGATTCCTTTCTTGTAGCTTTCTTTTTGCATCCATCTTGCATTTTGCATCCATGCATTAAGTATGTCCGTTACAACACACGATGTATTGATGTTATTCATGTGTTGTGTCTGTACTCTGATTTGTCATTCGGCAATAAGTCTCATGTTCATCTGTTTACATAGGCATTTACCTCTTGACCAAAGGTGCCGCTTCGGTATTTACAAATACTTAATTATAATGTATATTATCATTTAAGTATTAATGTCAATAATATTATTTATATTATATATTAACATTGTTATTTTATAATTTAATACATCTGTCGTGCATTGCAACGGACATACTACTGTGTTTCCCTGTCCCTCTGTCTGACAATCTTAACTGGGGCTTATTTTGGGGGTAGGGCTTATATTACGAGCATCCTGAAAAATCATGCTAGGGCTTATTTTCCGGGTAGGTCTTATTTTCGGGGAAACACAGTACAATAAATTAATGTATAGGATTGTATCCTAAAGGAAGTATGCAGAAAGGGGCTTTCCCATCTAATTCTAAGGGTGGCCGCTTTTCTTTTCCGAGGTTTCAAAGCGGTACATTTAAGCTGAATGATTTCTGCAGTCTAACCCACCACCCTGTCCCCTTACGAAGCCCAGGTGCAAACATGTCTTACTTTATCCCCCACAGCAGGACCAAGGCCTCCGATTGCCACTCCTTCAGTGGCCGGCCAGCGCCCACACCCACACCCTTTCGCCCATCTTCGCAGACAGAGGTTCTTCAGCCCCGGGACAGGAAACCCCCTGGCAGTTCATCTGGGGATCCAAGGAGGGCTCCTCACGATGGGACAGCCAAGAAAGAGACCTCTCGGCCTGCTGCAGAGACAGAACGGCTGCGGAGGGACCTTTTGGAGATCTTCACGGGCCAGGACATGAAAGTGGATTTTGTGCTCATGCGAGAGCCTTCCTGTTGTGACCTCAACAAGCTTTCCGAGGCCATTCTCAGCCTCACTTTCTGAGCCAGCAACCTTCTTCTGGCCCTCATCCATTTCCGGGGTGGCCCTGAACATGTGACGGTTCACATCACTTCTTCTGGGGGTCACTCTGGAGGGAGGATGGGAGACACAAAAGAAAACTTTGCCACTAGACACTGTATGGGTGATTCTGAGCACCTCTTGTTGCCCCAGTCGGCAAAGCACGGAGTCTTTGGATGATGGAGCACCCCGCTTCAGTAGTCAGTAAAGGAGTCTCAGCTCCAAATGCACATGGATTTTGAGGGACACCAAAAGAGCTCAGGCTGAGCTACTGCAGGCAGTAAGGCCAGGCCTATGGCCCACCAAAAGTACACCAAGGCTTGTCCCTCTTTTGCAGGGCGTCTCCACAGTGACTGTAAATTGATATTTAACTTCCATGGCCCTCTTCTGATTCCAGATAATTCCTAGATCTATTCTACCGAAGAGATTCCTCTCAGGTTTTTCTGCATCTGTACGATATTACACTTTCCAGGTTTCCTAAGATAAAATCTGTGATGGCTACAAGAATTCCAGAATAATTTAAAATCAGGTAGGGACATTTAGATGTAGTTCTGTTTTTAGGTTTTGTCAAAGAACAAATTCATGGAAAGCCCTCAACTGTTTTCCAGAAAGTCATGAGGGAGACAAGGAGGACCAATTAGGGAACATTTTGATTTTGGCTCTGACTCCCTGAGAAGTTCCTAGATCACACCTTTTCAGGAATGTACCCTATCAACAGGCTTTCCAGATTTTACAAACAGTAACAAAAATTATTTTACTCAGAGATTTTAAAAGCCCCACTCAGATTTGAGATGGCAGCGTGCTCTTACATTTGGGGTTCTAAATATATTTTTAAATTGAAAGTCAAATATTTCTTAGAAAAGGAAATTGTACAATTTGAAGATCCCCGATGAAGGGAAAGTGGGGAGAAGGAAGAAAAAGGAATTTGGTTTGCTTCTCATTGTTTAAATACTGAACTGCTTTTGGAAGCTAAGAATGAATGGTGTGTTTTCTGACCAAGTTCTGATTTTGTGGGTCATCTAATAAAAGACTATGGAAATGTTGCCATCTCGCTCATGAAATGCAGCAGGAGGAGAAAGATGTGCAGAATTGTCAGTGTTGAAACATGAGGTTTGCTACCCTGAGATGGATTTTACCGTTTGGGAAAAACGTGGCTTGCATCTCATTCCTGCTAGTGTTACTGATCACAAACAGCAAACTGATACATATTTTTTTCTCCAGAGCGTATCAGAGTAGATCAAATCCAGAGCCTAACAAAAAACTAAAAACCGCAGAAGCATCTACAGTGAGCCGGGAGTGTGGAAGGGATATTCTTGGGCAATGCTGTCGCTTGCCAGTAGAACAGCCGAGAACTCTTGGCCTTCCAGGCAAAGTTAAAATGTCCTTGGCTGTTGTACCCTGCCTTTTGGCCATACTGATGGGGCATCCAAAATCAAGTAGGGGTGGCAGAGCTTTCCATTCCTAGTTTGCGTGCATACAGAGGGAGGATCCTAACCCCTTTAGCATCCTGAATTGCCTTCCATAAGGCTTAAACTACAAGCAGGAAGAGTTGCAAGAAAAATGGTGTGTCGGGGAGTCCTGCCCACATCTGGATTGCAGCCCCTAAGCGCTTCCCCCATGAGGAATGTGACCCATTGGCCAAAGGAGTTTCTCCACCCCAGAAAAGCTGGATGAGATTTCATGGCAGAGATTCCATGGGCACCTGCTGCACCAGACCTCCTCCGACATGAAAGCAGCACAGCTACTGGTTTCCGCTTCTGTGAAATGAATCAAGCAGCACCAAGGTAGGGGAAGTTCGTATCTTTTATTTTCACCCTCACTCTCATGCACACATGCACACACAAGCAGAGATTAATGCTTGTGGCCTCAAGGCTCCGCCAATGGCAGAGGTATATGGGTCGGTGGCGAAGGGCTGCGGGTGACCTTCAGTGACCGGCAGAACAGAAGGGGCTCTTTGCCTAAGCCCAGGCGGTAGTGCCACCAGTACAGCTTTTGCCTGGGCTGTAAGATAACCCGCAGGGGCTCTCCTTCTTCCGCGACGGACTCCCACTCCTCCTGCTCCGTCTGAAGTCCAAGCCCTCCATAAGCCACAGGGAGACAAAACTGGCGCTGGAGAAGGGAAATGGCCAAGGACTCGGGATCTACAGATCCGGACACGTCGTATTTCTGGCTGAAGGCCAGCTTAGAACAGCCCACTTGGCGGGTGATTTCGTGCGTGCTGGGCATGGGCAGGTCTGTGGCATTGGAGATCAGCTTAAGACACTCCCATGCCCCGAAGGCGGGCCCGTGGATGACAGACAGGCCACCGGGGAGGAAGGCGATGACATCAGGGTGAACAGAGAAGGACCCTGCGTGTTCTGCCGCTGGCGTGAAAAGGTGGCCGCGGAGGCTGTTTTCCTCATCCATCCTCCAGCAGGCGACGTGGTGGGCATCGGCACCGTAATAATACAGTCCGTCAAGAAGCGTGGCCTCCAAGCAAACCTCCGTAGCCATGGCCCCAGTGGCCAGGTCAGCCACTGAGAGAACCACACCACGTTCCAGGAAGAAGATCAGGAAATGACCCTCGCAGGAGGCATAGTGGTCACCTCCTTGGCAGCTGGGGTGCAACGGAAAGGTGCTGGAAGGCGGCTCGGAGTTCAGGTCCAGCACTTTACAGAAGGAGTCCCCCCGGAGGAGGTAGATCACGGAACTGGTGGGGTCACCCACGTAGTGGTCCCAGCCACGGCAGGCAGGGTGCAGGTCCCACACTTTGAGGGCCTCTCCAGAGCAGAAGTCCAGGGCCTGTAGGAAGCAACCCAGGTCTGAGCGGATGATGAAGGAGCCATGGCGGGTGGTGAAGATGTCTGTGCCAGGGGAGTCTGTTCGTGGGGCAATGGCAGCCATGGACATCTAGCAGGGGAGAGACACAGCAAAACATTCTTACTCTCAGTGTTCTGTGTTTGGGCCTACAACTTTTTTCAGCCAGTGCAGAAGCAGGCAAGATCTGGATGCCAAAGCATCTGGCAGGCAGGTGGCCTGGTTTAACTTCTGACTTTAGTGGCAACGGAGCGTTAAATTGTTCTGGGGGATCAATCAGCAGAAGCTTCTGCCATCTTGATTCTCCATTAGCTTGGTCTTTTTGCATTCATCAGCAAGAAAGCTGCAAGGTGAGAGCAGGTGACTCGCTGATAGAAGATGCCATGATGCCTGCAATACTTTTTGTTATCACCGGAAATGTATCAGAATCGTATACTTGAAAGGGGCTTTAGAAGGCCATCAGGTCCAACCACCCAGGTCTTAAGTCATCCATCCAGATTTCAACCTGACCTGACCCTGCTTAGCTTCCAACATTATCAGGCACTTCAGGCTAAGCTTTCTGCTTAAAAATAAGCAGAAAATGTAGGGGAAGGTTCTAGAGTATTTTCAAGGGCAACAGGGTCCTCATAACACTCCCCCCCACACACACACACACCGGTGTGTACAGTCATGAACTTGTCTGCATTTAACACCCCAAATTCCAGGCCTTGCAGGGCATCAGGCAGGTTCATCCAAAGATGGGCAGACTGGCCATTTCTGCCAACCATGCAGCAGGCATAAGGGGTGGGTAGAGATGGAGGGAGCTTGCCAAAAAGGCAACATGTAGCCAGTGGGCTACATTTGACTTCACGGCTTGGAAAGCAGCACCTAATGTAAGTGACGGTAGCCACGCAACATGCCAAGACCTAGGTCACCCAGTTGGGGTGACTAGCAGACACAGCCCTCTTCTAGAAGTTTCTACAGCTGTCAGCCTCATCTCAATCTCAGCTCCAGGAAGGATGGCACAGAAGTGGCAAAGAAGGAGCCACTTGGGTGTTGTCCTTCTGGGAAAATGCCAACAGCCAAGAGAGCCCAGTTTCCTAGGGCAGGATTTGGCCTACGAAGCAGAATCCTGGCAAGAAAATGCCAGAATGCAGTTTCCTACGCAGAGCAGGCGGCTCAGCATCCTATTTTACCCTTTCTGTTCCAGAGAGGCCATAATAACATTAGGAAGAAAACTTGAAGAGAACAGAACTTCGAAGTTGCAGAAGGCAGGATAGCTGGATCCAAGCTCTTGTGGAAGTTCTGGTGGGTTATGGAGCAGGTATGAAGCTCGGGAGACCCCGAATTCCATGCCTGGCTTTGGGAAAGGGACCCAGGAATGCTAGTAAAGTTTGAACCTGAGTTCTTCCTCTCCAGGCTTTCAAAACACACGCTGTAGCAAGAGCACCTCTGAGTAAGCACAGTGTTCTCATTCCCTTCCCCAACATTAAACGATCACGCGCCCCCCGCACATAATCTGCAGAAATGACCTACGCAATGTATCTTGGGGGGGGGGGAGCGAGGAAGGGAACTACTGGGATTCACCTACCTCTGGCAGCCACCCCCCCCCATGATTTTCAAGATCTCTTGTCCTCCCGATGTGACGCCTCTCCCCAGCCCCACGGAAGCCCCCCGCTCTCTTCCCACCCCCAGGGTCCCCTGCTTGGAGGCGGGCCAAAAGCGCAGCTCTGAAGCGCTGCGGCGCGGGCAGATGCCGGCCAGGGGCAAGCTGCAAGCCCGCGGCCGCCACGGAGCAGGAGCGGGACGGAAGGGGCGCGAACCTGCGACCTCACCTCGGCGAAAGGCTCTGCCCAGCCCGCGGGAAGCCCAGCCTGGCAGGACGGGAAGGCTCCGGAAGAGGCTGGCGGAGGACGGGAGGCCTCTTTGGCTCCGCCTGGGCGAGAGGGAGGAGACCTGACGCGTGGCCGGGGCGGGCGCGGACATTCAAGCCGTCGCGGGGCGGGGAAGGAGAAGGCGGGGGAGGCGCCCGGCGCTTGCCTTGTTCCTGGCTTCAGATCCGGGGCAGAGGCGGGAAGGCCCGTCTTCCGACATTCAGCGCTTCCCAGTTGGAAAGCCGCCCTCGTTAGGGGCAGCTGTAGCAATGCAAAAATCCGGGGCGCAGCCCCGCTGGAAGGGAAGCGAAAGCGCGGTCTTGCTTAAGTTTACCTCTGGTGGCCTCTGGCCATAATAACTTGGATTGAACTGATTCACCTGTGCCCGAAAGTCTCTGTGGGACTTTGAAGGACGCCCATGTTTGTGAAAAGGGGCATGGGCAAGGAGACGAGGGAGAAGGACTCAAGGGCAGCTGCCGGGAGAGGGGAAAGAGCAGGGGGTGACGCTCATGCGGGCAAAAAGCCAGCTAATCCAGATGTACCTGCGATCAGCAGGGCCCCTGGACCTATTTCTTGGGTAGGGCCGGTGGATGACAGGACGGGGTCCCTCCCAGAGATTTGGGACTCCACGTGAAAGTTTAAGGGTACAATCCCTAGTGGGCGAGACTGGAACACTCCGGGTGCAGGACACTCTGCTACCTGTCCACCTTGATGTTGGGTAAAGCTTTCCTTCACCCTATGGAGGGAGGGAAGGGTAAAGGCCTGTCAAAGTCGGGAAAGACCAAGCACAGGTACAGGGAAATGCCGAAAAGGTTAGCGATGCTCCACACATCTCCCGCTGCTCAGCCCTTTGTGTCCTTCCTGCTGCTTCTGCATTATTGTTTGCAAATAAGAAGCACCGGATACTTGTGGGGAGGAACTGCCTGTATTTGTTTAGGCTGCCAAAGAATGCCTTCTCTTGTAAAAACAAAGCCCAGCGGATAGAAATCTAGCTGCCCCCCCCCACGAGCTAGCTTTCTACTTGCAGGGAAGCTTGTGGAGTTTGATCTTGTACATGTTTCCAAATATTGCCCAAATGAAATTCCTCACTAGCAATCTGGATTGGTACAGCCCTTGCGGCCTACTGTGTGGAGTCGTCATTCTGATGCATATGTTGATCCAGGCAAGTACAAATGTGCCCCCCCCCCCCCAATGTGGTGTTCATGTCATGCTCCCATTCTCCCAGCTAAGAAATCATGCTTTAAGGCTGGAGGAGAAACAGCTCTGGGCACAACAACCCTCCACGATGCAAGCCATGGATTTTATATTTATTCTTATTATGTTAAATAGAGATACAATCAGATTCCCCCCTCCCCTTTTCAGTGCATTGCAAATCTTATCCATGGTTATTTTACTCCACAGTGCTTCTGTGGGTAGAGAGAAAGGTAGACAAGGGGGGTCCATTCATCACAACAGGTAAGAGCACAAAGATGCACACAGTTCTTCCAAGGCATCTACAGCATAGATGTGCTTCACTGGCCAGGTGAAGGAAGTAGCAGAGACCCGCTGCTGCGCTGGATTAAAATCTCAGATGAAGAAGGCAGAGGGATCTCAGAGGGGGGGTCACAGCTGCAAGTGACCTTGATTGCCCTGCAAAACAGGATGTCCTCTTTCCCGAGGCCGAGTCGGTACTGCCACACATAAGCAGCTTCATCAGGCTCCAGTGTGAATTGCAGGGTCTCCTCCTTCTCATGGGCTTCTCCCCATTCCTCCTGCTCTGTACTTAAGCCCAGGCCGCCATATTCGGTTGGTAAGGCAAACTGGGCCTGGGTGATCACCACGGCGATGGAGCCTGACTTGGGGAAATCTGATGGGGACGCCACCCAGCTCTGCCCAATGTCCGCCAACTTCTCCTTGGCACAGCCCACCTTCCGGAATATTCCCTGTGTCTTGGTGGCCCGGGTGTGGGAATAGTTGTGGAAGGTGCTCAGCAGTTCCCAAGCCCCAAAGGCAGGGCCTCGGAGGATCCCCAGACCCCCCGGCAAGAAACTGAGGACGTTGGGGTGGAAAGAGAAGAATTCTCCGCTGAAGTTATCCTGTAGCTGCCAGTAAAGATAGCTACGGTGGCTTTCCATTTTCTCTTTGGACCATGGATGTTGTCCTAGGTCCATGATTGGATCCGGTTCACCCGTGGTCAGGTCCTTCATGGCCGTCATGGTGCCTGGACTCAGAATGACACCAATGGTACCCCAGGGAGTGACAAAGTAATGCTGCCCTCCGCAGCAACTCGGATGGAGGGGTCGGGCTGGGCCACGGGGGCTGGAACTCAGGTCTTGGGCTTCCAGGAGCTTGTTTCCTTTTATGATGTAAACAGAGTCGAGCCAGCGAGAGCCAAAATAGTGTTCGCCCTCGCGGAGCGAAGCATGCAAGGGGAAGAGCTGCGCCTCGGGGGAGGTGGGTAAACTGGGAAGGAGCAGGAAACTGCTCAGGTCGGGGCGGACGATCACATCTCCAGCCCTGGTGCTGAAAATGTGGACGCTGGGCACTGGCTTCTGCAGAACCATCTCAGGGCAGGCTTGGATGGGGTGGACGAGGGAAAGCTGAGCTGGGGAGAAAAAGGAGTGGCTACTAATTTGGGCAAAGTGATGTGTGCGTATCTGTTTGTGAGTATTTAGTAAAATATCCATGAGCAGCAAATGAATTGATCTGAGTTTTGGTAAATTACCAACTGACCAGTAAAAATAAAAAAAGTAAAAAACTGGTAAAAACCAACTGAGCAGTGTATATCAGAAGCATTTTCTGCATGACAAAGAGTTCTGTGAAATGAGGAAGCTTGCATACTCTTCCCTCATGGAAGAGGGTCCCCCTATGCATGTCCATTCCTTTGGAGGGCAACACAGTGTCTACTTTTACGTACATTCATTCCTTTGGATGTTCACTGTGTGTATAAAATGCCCCATCATTCTCTGACTCCAAGCAGACTGAAATTTGGCATGAAATTAATGCTACCCCTGCTCTTGAGCTGATTTCAAGTGCATTAAGGACAAAACATCTCATTGTGCTGACTGAGGGTGGTGTATCCACACTTCTTTAATGGCAGAGCTCCTGTGCATTTGACAGCCAGCAGCTTGCCTTGCAGAAATCAAACTGGCGCAGCTTCTGCCCATAAGGAGAAAGACTGATGGGCAAAATTCCACCCCTTGAATGGCAAAAGGCCATCAAAAGCATGGGAGCCCTGCCAGAAAAGAAGGGGGTAGCCCTGTGCTGGCCTAGCCCCATCCCAGATTGCCCATGGATCCTCCACCCACCCACTCCACTTACCACTTTAATGCCTGTTAGTTGCACGTCGCAGAAATTCCAGATTTATGCAGATCAAAGGGGCTTGTTTATTCCTCCTGGGCTTGGCTTCAGCCTTGTAAACAGCTGCGTCTTTGGCTTCCTCCCAGTCCTTCCGCAGTAGAAACTCCTATTTATGGGTCATGCTATGCTCCCACATAATACAAGTGTGCTTTCCTCTTCACCCCTCCAGTGACATGGATACCCATGTCTCCACCCAACAATTTTTTGAGAGAGAGTTAGCCTACCTTATCTGATCAGCTCATATGGCAGAAAGTCGCTATCAGTTGCTGTACAGCAAGTTGCTATACAGAAAGTTGCTAGGACTCTTTGCATCTTTGCTTTAGCCCACAGGCCGAGGAGCAAAATTTCTGTATTAAAAATGGAAGCACACAGTTTTGGCTTCTGCTGGGAATTTGCTGGTTTGCTGCTGACTAAGCAAACTCTCCCAAATCTTTCAGATTCCATGTGAACCCCCAATTTCATATCTGGGTACACAAGGGAGCATGAAGAGACACTCAGTGTGGTGTTTTCGTCAGAGCAGCAGAAGGGAGAGAATATTCCAGAATCTACAGTTAGATCTCAGGGTGACTTGCAGTGGGAGGCAAATAGGTTCCAGTGCTCAGTCATTTAGCATCTGCATCAACCAAATTATCTTTCCTCCCCCACTAATCAAAATCAGGCTGTTGCAACAAAGAAAGTTTGCTGGGATTGCAAACCTGCAAGAATTATTCAACTAGGGGTGGGCCTCAGGGCCAAAAGCCAGGGCCCCATGACCCCCATAATGTTTTCTCTTCAGAGATTAGAAAGTTTGTGGCAATTCCATGCTATTGGCCCTCCAGCTTCAACGGTGTTACCATGTTACAAACCTGCTGTAAGAACTCCCCAAGTTGCCAAGTGCTTTACCTAGGCTTCCTTGGAATGAGGACCCTGGTATCTTGTGACAGTGTTTACTTGCACATGGGTAGAGGATGAGCATGAGATGGCAGAACGCAGCATAAGCACACACAAACTGTGCCCTGTTCAGGTTTTCTTTGGGAGTCCCCAGCCCTGTGGGGCCCTCCTAGGGAACAACTCAGCCCCTGTGCCTCTCCTTCCATATCTCACAAAACTCACCCCAAACCTGAGTCTTAGATGGAAGACAAAAGATGAGGTTTATTTATTATGTTGCATTTATGCTCTGCCCTTTTCCCTCTTGTGAGGAACTCAAGGCAGCTGGCATAGTTCTGTGTTATCTTCACAACAACCCTGTGAGGCTGGGTGGCAAGGGTGAGTGACTGCCAAAGTCACCCAGTGAGCTGACTAGAACCCAGGACTCCAGCACTCTGACCAGCACACCAGCCCTCTTCCAGACTTCTTGGGCCAGTCAGAAAGGCAGCAGCTGTGGACGATTCAGTGGAGACTCAGAGGCATGTCAGGACAACAGCTGGACAGATTCATTCCTGGCAGATCTGGGGAACTTTTGAGGGAATCCCCTGTGCGGAATCTTATTCCCAGAGACTGTCAGCCCGCCCAGAGAGTCTGTCTGTGAATTAAATGCCTCCCCTTCTCTCATCTAAGTGTCTCAGCATGGCCCACATTCCTGGCCCCCTTTCTCCTTCGGATCCTGGTTCTGATTCCTCTGAAGTCCAGCCAGCAATCCAAAGCAGCCATCTTTCTGCATGTCTAAAGTAAATAGCCATCCCTTTTAATTTTTCTCAACAGGTGGAATGATTTCTTTATCCTTTGGCTCTAAGGAGGCCTCCAGTCTGATGCCAAAGTTTTCGTTGAGTATTGCTGGAATCTCGGAACTCTGCAGGACAGCTTCTGTGCGCTCTCCTCCCTTGGTGGAGATGAGACGCCAACCCATGTAGGTCAGGCGCCCGCCATCTTCCTGGTGGAGGGAGCAGAACGACTTGCAGGCAAAGATGGAGCTGGGCGAAGTTTGGTGATAGAGACACATGTCAGCAAAATCCTCCAGTTTTTTCTCCTCGAGGGTGAACTGATACAGAGGCCTCCCCTGCTGTCCTGGAGATTCCCGGCGCTCCAGCACCCAGGTGGCCCCCTCCAGGCCCAGCCAGAAAGTGCCACCTTCCTGGACATGCTCCATCTCCTTCTTTAGCGGCAACGGCTCCATGAATCCTTCGCCAAAGCCGACGTCACACAGGAACTGCTGCCCATCCAGCCGCACCAGAATCACCAAGTGGTCCAAGGGGGGTCCATAGCGCCCAGTGAAGCGGTTCCGGACACGCCCAGCTATGCCTTTGGCATCAAATCCCAGTGTCTGCAGGAGCCACAGGAAAAGGCCATTCAGCTCGTAACAGAAGCCGCCCCTGTGGCGCCGGACGATCTTGTCATAGAGACGGGGCAGTTCCAGCAGGATGGGCTCCTTGCAGTGGATACTGAGGCTCTCAAAGGGCACAGAGAGGAGATGGCGACGGTGCAGGCGGTGCAAGGTCTCCAGGGAGGGCTGGCTGGTGCCCTGGTATGCTATCCGTTGGAGGTATTGGCCCACGTCCATCGCGGGCCCTTTGGGCGGAGAGCGAAAGGTGACCCGAGGTGCAAATCCTTTCTCTTGGCAGGCCTTGCTTTGTCGCCTTGCTGTCACTAGTGGCACAGCTCTGATCCTTCACATGCACTTCAGCACATGTAAGACAGTTGACTCAGGATTCCCAGGGCCCTGCACCCCCCTTGCCTGCCCTAGGAAAGACTTGCTGGATCTTCTGCAAAGCGACGTGTGCTGCTCTGTACAAATAGCAGCAGCAGTTTTACTGTCCGGAAGAAGGAGGGCGGTAATGGGAGATGTCATGTGACCATTCCAGGAAGAGCACCTCCGGAAGGAAGCTTCGTTCTCAGCTGTGTGCGCCTTAACCCTTGAGCAGCCTTCAGATGCTTTTAAAGGTCTGGCACCTGAAGCCTTTTGATGCTGGGGACAAAGGCTACGGAATTGCATCAGTGAAACTGTCTTGCAGCCAAAGCTGTGTGCCTGTTGGTGCATGTAAGAGAGAGAGGCTATTAAAAAGTTATCTAAAAGTACATCTGGACTATCTGTCCAGGAGCTCAAGTCCTAAGTGCAGTGAGAATTCAGGGCTCTGGAGCTGAGAATTCCTGGAAGGCCAATATGAGGCCTTTCTCGGAATTCTTTTATCCATTAATAGAATTCTTATATCCATTTATCTGGGGGTGAGCTCATCCTTGTGTGGACTGATGTGGCTGCATCAGGTGATGGGGCAGAGGGGCAGCAAATTGTGTGCCCCCCAGCTCTGCATCCACCCCAGCCCTACCACCTCCAGCAGGTACTTCAAGGAGCTTTGCCAGCCATTCTTCCACTGTGGATTGGGAAGTGTTTCTGGCCCATAATTATTTCGCAATAGCACCATCCAAAAAATCCCCCCCCCCCAGACACACCTGGATTAGCCTGATAAAATGAAGACCCCTTGGGATAACCAAGAGTTGGTTGTTTGGAGCACAAATGTACACCTGCGAACTTACATGTGAATTATATTTGTCCTGTCTTTTGTCCTGCAAGGAGGCCAAGGTGTATTTCCTAATTTAGCTGTATTCATTTTTTATTCACACAACCATTCTGTGGGGTAGGGTAGGCTGACTGGCCATGGCTGAATGGGGACCAGTACCTGAGTTTCCTGAGTACCAATCCTACACTAACCACAACATCATTCTGGTTTACCTGTGAGGAAGAAGCATTGCCTTTCCTCAGAGTGTTTTGGGACTGTAGCCTGCTTAAAACATTTTTGATTAATTTACTGATTTACTGCATTTTAATCTGTCCAATAACCACTGTTCTTTGGGGGATTACAAACAGTTAGTATACTAAAAAAGAGATTAAATTACAACATAGAAATAATTAAAAGAATAAATATAATAGAATGCAAAGAAATGAACAATGTGGGAATTGATAAAAAGCCATAAATACTCTAAATACTGATAATAAATGAAAATCTAGATCTAGGTCTATTACTTCCATCACCATTATTATTTATTACATTTGTATACCACCAGTAGCTGAAGTTCTCAGGGCGGTTTACAACAAATGCCTGAACAAGAAGAAATGTCTTTGCCTGGTGCTGAAAAAATAAGTGTAGGTACCAGGTGAAATGGTTTCTTGGGATACTCTGGCCCAAAATTGTTCACAGCTGGAAAGGTTAAAACCAGCGCTTTGTATTATGACTGGAAATGGGCTGAAAGCCCGTGCAGGGGGCAAAGTTCTGGCACCACATGATGGGGACAGCCAGTTCTGCTTAGCAAGCAGCAACTCTGCCTCAGTTCTTTTGGGGCTTTGAGTGTTCATGCCAGCACCTTGAACAGGACCCGGGCTGGACTGGCAGCCCGTGTGGCCCGTAAACATGGGCATGGATCTGGAAAACCAGCTTGATGCAAAAAGGCTTGCTGTTGGCCTTCCAGTCATACTAGGAAGGATCTCTGAGCGGCATTCCTGACTTTGGACCAAGGAGCTGGGATCCAACAGGAAAAGCTTTATCAGAGCTGCAAAGATGAGCAGGAGTAAGAGGAGGAGGAGGAGCTGCATCAGCCTGTGGAGATTGTTTTTGTACTGCACAGAAGCCTTGCAAGTCCAGAGCAGTTTCGGTCCCCAAACTGGTCCTCAACCAGATTTATTTTATAGTTATGTATCCATTTAATTTTTTTAAAAATACTGCCTGATAGCCAAAGCTCTGATCAGTTCACGACAACTGAAACATAAAATGCAATATTATTGTGCCTTAACTATTTGAGGACAGTGTGGTGGAGTGGTTAAGAGTGGGTGACTTTGGGCCAGTCGCAAGTGAGTGACTTTGGGCCAGTCACAGCCTCTCAGCTCAACTTACCTTGCAGTGTTGTTTTTTCAGGGATGGGACAGAACAGGAGGAGGAGGGGGAGAATGATATAAGCTGCCTTGAGTTCCTTGTAAGAAAAAAGCAGGATATATATCTAATAAATAAATCAATAAATACAACTATTTAAATTTTCAAGGCAAAAACCTAGCAGCTGTAGAAAGATACAGTGCAGAATTCTTAAAAAGTGCAAAACTTAAATTCCTGGGGAAAGAAGGTCTTTAATTGGCATCCAAAATATAATGTCTGTGCCAGGTGAGCCTCCCAGGGAAGTCCATGCCGCTGTCAGGGTGCCGCAGCAGAAAAGCCCCTTTTCCTGGCAACCACCCTCCTGCCTTTCCTTGGTGGGGCCTCCTTCATAAGGAGCACTGAGCATGGTCTTAGGGTCCAGGCAGCTCCATATGGGGCAAGGCGGTCCTTCAGGTCACCTGGCCCTAAGCAAACTGGGGCTTCCAATATTAATACCAGCACTTTGAAGCAGGTCTGGACCTGGCCTGGCATCCAGTGCAAATGGCAAGCATGGACAAGGATGCAGAAAATCAGCTTCATCCGAACATGCTGGCATTTGATTGATAACCACAAGCTGGTTACTGCTCCATGTTGTCCTCTATGTCTGGGTGCATTTTAGGTTCCTCAGGGGCACCCTGATTAATGCTCTTTCAAGGAGGAATTTAGAGTGTCCCTGTCTCACCCAGCAATCCCCACCCTATTAGATGTAGATGTTCAGATGGTAAAGGGTCCAGCGTACCAGTGGCCCATCAAACACATCCAAGCCGCTTGCCCTCGTTCTCATTGTTCAACTAAACTCATCCAATGCAGCCAGAGCAGATGCTGGTTTGGACATTTCCCTTAATGGAAGCACATCAGAAAAGTGGGTCCAAGCCAAGAGATGCTGAGTGACTTTTACTGAGCAATTTGAGAAGCAGTGGAACCTTTTTCTGCCAAAAGCTGCATAGGTTTGTGCTCCAAGTTGGCTCCTCTGTCTTTTCCTTTATGTAATTCCTTTTGGATGGGAAGCCTCAGAAGAACTGCCTCCTCCTCCTCGATGTGGTTGTTGCTGATGTTAATGATGGAGGTGATGATTTTTCTGTTCTTCTAGGAGCCACATTGGTTGAATAGCCAGGCAAAATCATTTCAGTGGACATTCATGTGAATGTGCAGCTCACGTGAGGAACAGGAGCTCAGAAGCCAAGTTCATGTGGAGCATTTCTATCAAGTAAGCAAGATCCAGGAAAAGGGATCTCAAGCAGCATGGCAGGAAAAGATCTTGGTACTTCCTAACTGGTCAGAATAAAAATATTGGGACAGATGGATCAATG